TTCTACAGTTTGTTTTGGAATTGTTCTGTTTTGGGCTAAATATAAACAAAAACGAATGAAAGATTTTACAGGAATGTGTTTCTCTTTACAGTGTGTTTGTGGTGTGCTGTTTACCTTGGGTAAGTGATTATTGATTTTTTTTTTTGTATTTCAATTATGTGTCATTGCGTTTTCATCTAATACAAACATGTTTTTGTAAACGGTAATTCAATTTTAGATCTAATATTTTTCTTTTCAAAAATCCAGCGCTTCAACAACAGTTGCGCAGTCTACAACTTCAGGATATACAGCTTCAGAAACCACAACTGTACTTTCCACTCCAACCTCAGCAACATCAGCTCCGACCACATCTGATTCTCCAGGTACAACAACGGTTATAAATTCAGAAACACTTGCTTCAACAACCATGCCTACATCTTCAGAAACGACATCTGCAGCTGAAACAACAAATACTGCATCCACAACCACAACTGAGCCTTCCACTACTACAGCTGTAACCACAACATCACTTGGACTCACAACAACTGAACTCACTACAACTTCAGAGAGTACAACAGCAGAAACCACGACTACAGCTTCATCAACCACATCTACAACAACAAACGATCCAACAACATCAACAGCCATAACTTCAGAATCCACAACTCTCACTTCAACAACAATGCCTACATCTTCAGAAACAACTGCACCTGTAACAACTTCAGTAACTACAGCATCCTCAACTACTGAAATTCCCACAACCACAGTTGTGAGTACAGAAACCACATCTATTACTTCAACAGTGGTGCTTACAACTTCAGAAAGAACAACAGCAGAAACCACGCCTACAGCTTCATCAACCACATCTACAACAACAAACGATCCAACAACATCAACAGCTGTAACTTCAGAATCCACGACTCTCACTTCAACAACAATGCCTAGATCTTCAGAAACAACTGCACCTGTAACAACTTCAGTAACTACAGCATCCTCAACTACTGAAATTCCCACAACCACAGTTGTGAGTACAGAAACCACATCTATTACTTCAACAGTGGTGCTTACAACTTCAGAAAGAACAACAGCAGAAACCACGCCTACAGCTTCATCAACCACATCTACAACAACAAACGATCCAACAACATCAACAGCTGTAACTTCAGAATCCACGACTCTCACTTCAACAACAATGCCTAGATCTTCAGAAACAACTGCACCTGTAACAACTTCAGTAACTACAGCATCCTCAACTACTGAAATTCCCACAACCACAGTTGTGAGTACAGAAACCACATCTATTACTTCAACAGTGGTGCTTACAACTTCAGAAAGAACAACAGCAGAAACCACGCCTACAGCTTCATCAACCACATCTACAACAACAAACGATCCAACAACATCAACAGCTGTAACTTCAGAATCCACGACTCTCACTTCAACAACAATGCCTAGATCTTCAGAAACAACTGCACCTGTAACAACTTCAGTAACTACAGCATCCTCAACTACTGAAATTCCCACAACCACAGTTGTGAGTACAGAAACCACATCTATTACTTCAACAGTGGTGCTTACAACTTCAGAAAGAACAACAGCAGAAACCACGCCTACAGCTTCATCAACCACATCTACAACAACAAACGATCCAACAACATCAACAGCTGTAACTTCAGAATCCACGACTCTCACTTCAACAACAATGCCTAGATCTTCAGAAACAACTGCACCTGTAACAACTTCAGTAACTACAGCATCCTCAACTACTGAAATTCCCACAACCACAGTTGTGAGTACAGAAACCACATCTATTACTTCAACAGTGGTGCTTACAACTTCAGAAAGAACAACAGCAGAAACCACGCCTACAGCTTCATCAACCACATCTACAACAACAAACGATCCAACAACATCAACAGCTGTAACTTCAGAATCCACGACTCTCACTTCAACAACAATGCCTAGATCTTCAGAAACAACTGCACCTGTAACAACTTCAGTAACTACAGCATCCTCAACTACTGAAATTCCCACAACCACAGTTGTGAGTACAGAAACCACATCTATTACTTCAACAGTGGTGCTTACAACTTCAGAAAGAACAACAGCAGAAACCACGCCTACAGCTTCATCAACCACATCTACAACAACAAACGATCCAACAACATCAACAGCTGTAACTTCAGAATCCACGACTCTCACTTCAACAACAATGCCTAGATCTTCAGAAACAACTGCACCTGTAACAACTTCAGTAACTACAGCATCCTCAACTACTGAAATTCCCACAACCACAGTTGTGAGTACAGAAACCACATCTATTACTTCAACAGTGGTGCTTACAACTTCAGAAAGAACAACAGCAGAAACCACGCCTACAGCTTCATCAACCACATCTACAACAACAAACGATCCAACAACATCAACAGCTGTAACTTCAGAATCCACGACTCTCACTTCAACAACAATGCCTAGATCTTCAGAAACAACTGCACCTGTAACAACTTCAGTAACTACAGCATCCTCAACTACTGAAATTCCCACAACCACAGTTGTGAGTACAGAAACCACATCTATTACTTCAACAGTGGTGCTTACAACTTCAGAAAGAACAACAGCAGAAACCACGCCTACAGCTTCATCAACCACATCTACAACAACAAACGATCCAACAACATCAACAGCTGTAACTTCAGAATCCACGACTCTCACTTCAACAACAATGCCTAGATCTTCAGAAACAACTGCACCTGTAACAACTTCAGTAACTACAGCATCCTCAACTACTGAAATTCCCACAACCACAGTTGTGAGTACAGAAACCACATCTATTACTTCAACAGTGGTGCTTACAACTTCAGAAAGAACAACAGCAGAAACCACGCCTACAGCTTCATCAACCACATCTACAACAACAAACGATCCAACAACATCAACAGCTGTAACTTCAGAATCCACGACTCTCACTTCAACAACAATGCCTAGATCTTCAGAAACAACTGCACCTGTAACAACTTCAGTAACTACAGCATCCTCAACTACTGAAATTCCCACAACCACAGTTGTGAGTACAGAAACCACATCTATTACTTCAACAGTGGTGCTTACAACTTCAGAAAGTACAACAGCAGAAACCACGACTACAGCTTCATTAACCACACCTCCAGCAACAAAGGATCCAACAACATCAACAGCTGTAACTTCAGAATCCACGACTCTCACTTCAACAACAATGCCTACATCTACAGAAACAACTGCACCCGTAACAACTTCAGTAACTACAGCATCCTCAACTACTGAAATTCCCACAACCACAGTTGTGAGTACAGAAACAACATCTATTACTTCAACAGTGGTGCCTACAACTTCAGAAAGTACAACAGCAGAAACCACGACTACAGCTTCATCAACAACACCTACAACAACAAACGATCCAACAACATCAACAGCTGTAACTTCAGAATCCACAACTCTCACTTCAACAACAATGCCTACATCTTCAGAAACAACTACACCCGTAACAACTTCAGTAATCACAGCCTCCTCAGCTACTGAAATTCTCACAACCACAGTTGTGAGTACAGAAACAACATCTATTACTTCAACAGTGGTGCCTACAACTTCAGAAAGTGCAACAGCAGAAACCACGACTACAGCTTCATCAACAACACCTACAACATCAAACGATCCAACAACATCAACAGCTGTAACTTCAGAATCCACAACTCTCACTTCAACAACAATGCCTACATCTTCAGAAACAACTACACCCGTAACAACTTCAGTAATCACAGCCTCCTCAACTACTGAAATTCCCACAACCACAGTTGTGAGTACAGACACAACACCAATTACTTCAACATTGGTGCCTACAACTTCAGAAAGTGCAACAGCAGAAACCACGACTACAGCTTCATCAACAACACCTACAACAACAAACGATCCAACAACATCAACAGCTGTAACTTCAGAATCCACAACTCTCACTTCAACAACAATGCCTACATCTACAGAAACAACTGCACCTGTAACAACTTCAGTATCTACAGCATTCTCAACTACTGAAATTCCCACAACCACAGTTGTGAGTACAGACACAACACCAATTACTTCAACAGTGGTGCCTACAACTTCAGAAAGTACAACAGCAGAAACCACGACTACAGCTTCATCAACAACATCAACAGCTGTCACTTCACAATCCACAACTCTCCCTTCAACAACATTGCCTACATCTTCAGAACCAACTACACCCGTAACAACTTCAGTATCTACAGCATTCTCAACTACTGAAATTCCCACAACCACAGTTGTGAGTACAGACACAACACCAATTACTTCAACAGTGGTGCCTACAACTTCAGAAAGTACAACAGCAGAAACCACGACTACAGCTATATCAACCACACCTATAACAAATGATCCAACAACATCAACAGCTGTCACTTCACAATCCACAACTCTCACTTCAACAACAATGCCTACATCTTCAGAAACAACTACACCCGTAACAGCTTCAGTAATTACAGCCTCCTCAACTACTGAAATTCCCACAACCACAGTTGTGAGTACAGAAACAACATCTATTACTTCAACAGTGGTGCCTACAAATTCAGAGAGTACAACAGCAGAAACCACGACTACAGCTTCATCAACAACACCTACAACAACAAACGACCCAACAACATCAACAGCTGTAACTTCAGAATCCACAACTCTCACTTCAACAACAATGCCGACAACTACAGAAACAACTGCACCCGTAACAACTTCAGTAACTACAGCATCCTCAACTACTGAAATTCCCACAACCAAAGTTTTGAGTACAGAAACCACATCAATTAGTTCAACAGTAGTGCCTACAACTTCAGAGAGTAAAACAGCAGAAATCACAACTACAGCTTCATCAACCACACCTACAACAACAAACGAACCAACAACATCAACAGCTGTAACTTCAGAATCCACAACTCTCACTTCAACAACAATGCCGACAACTACAGAAACAACTGCACCCGTAACAACTTCAGTATCTACAGCATCCTCAACTACTGAAATTCCCACAACCACAGTTGTGAGTACAGAAACAACATCTATTACTTCAACAGTGGTGCCTACAACTTCAGAAAGTACAACAGCAGAAACCACGACTACAGCTTCATCAACCGCACCTACAACAACAAACGATCCAACAACATCAACAGCTGTAACTTCAGAATCCTCAACTCTCACTTCAACAGCAATGCCTACATCTACAGTAACAACTGCACCTTTAACAACATCAGTAACTACAGAATCCTCAACTACTGAAATTCCCACTACCACAGTTGTGAGGACAGAAACCACACCAATTACTTCAACAGTGGTGCCTACAACTTCAAAAAGTACAACAGCAGAAACCACGACTACAGCTTTATCAACCACACCTACAACAACAAACGATCCAACAATATCAACAGCCGTAACTTCAGAATCCACAACTCTCACTTCAACAGTTATACCTATACCTTTAGAAACAGCTGCACCTGTAAAATCAGTAACTACAGCATCCTCAACTACTGAAATTCCCACAACCACAGTTGTGAGTACAGAAACCACACAAATTACTTCAACAGTGGTGCCTATAACTTCAGAAAGTACAACAGCAGAAACCACGACTACAGCTTCATTAACCACACCTACAGCAACAAAGGATCCAACAACTTCAACAGCTGCAACTTCAGAATCCACAACTCTCACTTCAACAACAATACCTACATCTACAGAAACAACTGCACCTGTAACAAAATCAATAACTACTGCATCCTCAACTACTGAAATTCCCACAACCACAGCTGTGAGTACAGAAACTACACATATTACTTCAACAGTGGTGCCTACAACTTCAGAGAGTACAACAGCGGAAACCAAGACTAGAGCTTCATCAACCACATCTACAACAACAAACTATCCAACAACGCCAATAGTTGTAACTTCAGAATCCACAACTCTCACTTCAACAACAATACCAACATCTTCAGAAACAACTGCACCTTTAACAACATCAGTAACTAAAGCATCCTCAACTACTGAAATTCCCACAACCACAATTGTGAGTACAGAAACTACAGTTTCCTCAGCTACAGCTGTTCCTTCCACTGTTACATCAACTTTAATGTCATCTGAAGTTCCGAGTACAACAACATCTCAAACGACATTGCCACTTGAAATCACATCTACTGGAGCTCTCACATCCACTGTTGTGACTTCAGAAGCAACAACTTCTATGTCTACAACAATGCCTACAACATCAGAAAGTACAACTACACCTGCAGCTTCCACAACCACAGTGGGGCCTTCCACCTCTGTGACTACATCTTCCGAAACTACAACTGCATCCTCGACATCTGCGGCTTCCTCAACTATGCCTTCTACTACTTCATCATCTCCAACCTCATCTAAATCTCCAGGTATAACAACAAATGATCCAACAACATCAACAGCTGTAACTTCAACAACAATGGCTACATCTTCAAAAACATCTGCACCTGTAACGACATCAGTAACTACAGCTTCCTCAACTACAACTGTAGCTTCAACAATGACAACAGCAGCTTCTACAACCACAAATCAACCTTCCACTATGACATCAGCTCCAACTTCATCTGATGCTCCAAGTTCAACAACAGCTCAAATCACAATGTCTAGTGCAGCTGCAACTACTGAAGTTGTGAGTCCAGATACCACAACTGTTGCATCAAAAACAATTTCTACAAATTCAGAAACGGCAAGTTCTCTTACAACAACCACATCTACAGCTTTCGTCACCACAACTACAATTACAGCAGATATCTCAGCTCCAGCTCCAAGCACAACAACAGCCACCATTCCAAGTTCAACTGCAGCTCAATCAACAACTGCATTTCAAGTAACAACAGGAGGCCTTTTAAGAACAACTGTAGCTTTTACCAGCACATCTTCTGCTCCAGCCACACTTGCACTTTCAACCAAAACAACTTCAAGCCCAAACATAGATTCAGAAACTACAACTGCATCAACAACTACAACTGGAATTATTACAGGTCTCACCAGTGCAGCAGAATTTCCAATAGCTCCAATAACATCAGTTCCAAACACAAATACGTCAACATCCCCAGCATCTACAACAGTCTTTCCAGGAACAACAACCAGTGTCTCTATAACTGCTCCAAATCTCATGTAAGTGTTGGTTTTCTATTTTGGGAACAATCAAAAATGTGAAGTAATTTAATTGCGAAAAACTTGATGTACATTAAACAAAAGGGGTTATATTTACAGATCTGGTTCAGCAGTGGTCACAAGCAAGCTGGTGTTCAACTCCTCATCTCCAGTCCCCAGTGAATCTCTGGTCCTCAGTGCTATCAAAACTCTCCGTAATTCCAGAGAGTCACAGCTCAAGGAATCAGTGAAGGTGGTGAATGTCACCTATGAGAGTAAGTGTCATCATTTTCACTGGGAAAGTTTTGAAATGAGATTGAGTCAAACAATTATGTATTTCAGGCTTTTGGCAAATCTTAAAATTACCATTTCCATCCAAACAGAGATCTCAGAAACCTCTTATGCTGTGGTCTTTACATTTAACGTGATTAACATCAGTATTCCAGAGGACCCTGCATCTAGAGGCAACACCAACCAGCAAGTGCAGGATACCATCAATAATGCGGTACACTTCAAAACTGAACAGTGTAATATGGCTTAAGTTCAATGCCAGTCTTCACAAGAAACTGATGAATGGTTTAATTTTTCCCCTTCAGCTGAACACTCTTCTGAATGAACCTGGTAGTCCAAATTTACAACCCAAGTCCTCTAACTTCACGTAAGATGCAAACTCACGTCACAATGTTTATTTCATGTGTCCTCACATTTTAGCTTATTAAAGCTATGTAAAGTTACAAATACCAAAAAAATAGATATAATAATAATAATAATAATAAAAAATAAAAAAACTTTTTCAAGATGTGGATTAAAGTCCTTAACAGATATATCTTGTTTATCTTGCAGGGGCACTTCAATCCAGATTAATGGCAGGATGGAATACAGCTTCCAGGATGGAGATGTCATACAACCAGTCAGCTTCCTCAATGAGCTACGTCTACCAACCACTACAACAGTCTTTCCAGGAACAACAACCAGTGTCTCTATTACTGCTCCAAATCTCATGTAAGTGTTGGTTTTCTATTTTGGGAACAATCAAAAATGTGAAGTAATTTTATTGTGAAAAACTTGATGTACATTAAACAAAAGTGGTTATATTTACAGATCTGGTTCAGCAGTGGTCACAAGCAAGCTGGTGTTCAACTCCTCATCTCCAGTCCCCAGTGAATCTCTGGTCCTCAGTGCTATCAAAACTCTCCGTAATTCCAGAGAGTCGCAGCTCAATGAATCGGTGTAGGTGGTGAATGTCACCTATGAGAGTAAGTGTCATCATTTTCACTTGGAAAGTTTTGAAATGAGATTGAGTCAAACAATGATGTATTTCAGGCTTTTGGCAAATCTTAAAATGACCATTTCCATCCAAACAGAGATCTCAGAAACCTCCTATGCTTTGGTCTTTACATTCAACGTGATTAACATCAGCATGCCAGAGGACCCTGAGTCTAGAGGCAACACCAACCAGCAAGTGCAGAATACCATCAATAATGCGGTAAACTTCAAAAATGAACAGTGTAAAAAGACGTAGGTTCAATGCCAGTCTTCACCAGAAACTGATGAATGATTTGATTTTTCTCCTGCAGCTGAACACTCTTCTGAATGAACCTGGTAGTCCAAATTTACAACCCAAGTCCTCTAACTTCACGTAAGATGCAAACTCACGTCACAATGTTTATTTCATGTGTCCTCACATTTTAGCTTATTAAAGCTATGTAAAGTTACAAATACCAAAAAAAAATAATAATAAAAAATAAATAAAAAAACTTTTTATGTGGATTAAAGTCCTTAACAGATATATCTTGTTTATCTTGCAG